ATGGGCACTTTCATTGTATATTATATTTGTTCCAATGTCTTCTGCAATTGAATTAAACAACAATGCCTTGACAATGTTGTTGCAGAGCCTCCATTGTTGAAATTCTGCGGCGGACGTCTCTGGTGGTTCTTTGACGGTGTCGTTGACGAAACCTTCTTTGTTTTTGATGCTAAGTGCCATCAACATGGCACGACTCCAAGTATTGTAGTTTTCTCCAATTAGCAGCTGCGTAACGAGCACGAGACCGGGTTGATCTGAGTAGTGAAAATAAAATGGGTCGTTCGGATTATTGAATTTGCTAGATTTAGGCTTGGCTAAATTTTGAGTTTTTTTGTCATGTGTTTCGGCCTAGAAAAAAGATAGATGAGGGTTTCGACGTGGAAGAGGAGATGGTAAGACTCATAATCGTGTTTGCTCTGATACCATGTTAAAATTCAGAATAATGCCGAATAAAGTGGATTACTTGATTGCTTCATTGATATGAACGAGGGTATAAATAACCCTTACACGAATCCTATAATAGGAAAAATAATAAAAAAAATGATATGAAAGGAAATATATATCATCTAATATCTCCAATAATCAATTCATATTAATTATTTGGAGACATAGGAAATAACATAAAATAGGAAAACAAATAATTCCTAATCTAAGGAAATAAATATAAAATAGGAAAGGAAATATCTCCTTAATTCTAAGGAAATAATTTTTTCATCATAATTCTTTACAGGAATAAATTATTTCCTATTATAACTCCTAACACATTCTCTAAAAACACTAGGACCAAAAGTGTATCTCATTTGCTCCCTTCAACCTTAGACACAGTCCTGGTCATCAAACTCCTCTTCATGACCTAAGCCAATGCGAATCTCTAGAAAAGTAATTGTAGGAATGAAACTTGATCCTAGACAATGCAGCAGAATCCTTGATGGATTTAGATCTATTTCTTGATAGGCGTCTCAAGGAGATGTATAACGATCTTAAAATGGTGCAGATTTCTCCAAAATCAGCTCAACTACATATTACTGATGGAAGAAATAAGATTTTGATCAATATTAGTAATTCACTTTTTGATTTAATGATGTGATATAATTGGATCTTCTTTCCGAGTCCTCTTTCTGTGATGTACTCTAAGCCCTCAGAGGCTAAAAGGCACTGCACAATCTTATCAGGTCTGATGCTGCCTGAACTGATTAACTCATATGCGACCTTTGGAGCATGTTATACTCTAAAATCCATTCACTTATTACTGAATTTTCATATGCTTTAAGTTTTGTCTCCTTACTCTATATGTTGTAATAGTACAACATAACATTAGCATAGACTATACAATACAAACTTCATCTTGCTCTTCAAATTATTCAAAAAAATTTCTTATAGCTTCAAAGCTAACTGTCATGTACTTTCTTAAAAAATAATATTATGAGAAAGACGAAGAAATAAATGAAGTTGCTCTTGAAGTTGCATCCTGCAATAAACAAAAGAGCCCGTGCAAATTTTGAAGATCGTTGTACTATATATTAATTACAAAATAAGTGTCATCGTTTCAAATTATTCAAAATCTTCTTTCTGGTTATATATATATATATATATATTGTATCAAAAGGATCGAAAAATGTAAGATTCGCCCTCATTTCATGCACGTATCCAGACCCAAATACACAATCATGTATTCCACTGCAAATAGTACCAAGATCTGCAATCTTATACATACCATTTGTTTCGGCACACATGGAAATAAGAAGCAGACTCCAATCCTCATTGATCACTATGCCTTTGAGCATCATTAAAGTCTATATATACCATGTTTTCATTTGTTATTATGACCTTTGATAGTTTTCATCAACTTACTCGTCCCTCTTTTTAAAAGCCATACAATCTCTCTTATGTGCTTTTGTTTAATGCAATAGAGACAAGTTTTACTCTTATCAGCAGATTTCTCTTGCCAACACACTTTCCCTTAGTGGTAGAACAATTCTCCATTAGTCTTCCATTGCCCCACTTTCCTCATCAACACCGTAAGATTAGAAGTCACATCTTTTGATAGGAGGGAGTTTTTCATGTCTTCTATAAAGCAATAGATGGAATTGCGTTCCTACAGCAAGGTATAAGGGATTATTTCCTTCCTTACAGAACATACAGTAGCTTGTTCTAAAATGAACCACCGCTAGAATCTTCTAGCAGCTAAAAGCCTAGTATTACATAAATGCCATCTGGTAGTTGCAGATTCCATGTGCTCTCTACCTTCATGTTGTCAGACTGAAAGCCATTATGCTGAGACAATCTGGTTTTGGTTGTTATCCCCCATCAAGATGATGGGTGTTGGAAAAACCTGAAGCTTAGATTTGAAGAGATTGAATCGCTGTTTGGCAAGAGCCTTAGTAAAAATATCGTCTGGTTGATTCTGGGTAGTGATATAATAAATTTCGAGTTGGTCGTGTTGAAGATGGTCCTGAATGAAATGGTAATAAATTTTGATTTGCTTGATTCAGTCATGAATTATTGGGGCGAGTGCCATGGTAGGCACATTATCACAATATGATTTTGTCCGTTACAATTGCTCAACACTTAGTTTCTTAAGAAGTCTCCGGAGCAACAAAGTGTCAGCCGTCGCTAAATCTAAAGCTCAGTATTCCGCCTCCATGGAGGACCGGACTATGGTTGGTGTTTCTTAACTGTCCAGGAGATAGGAGCATGGCCTAGAATGAACAAAAACCTGTAATGGATTCTTAGTTCACCATGTAACCTGACCCATCAGCATCAGAGTATTTTTGTAGGCATCGGTCTCCGTTTGTTATGGTAATCCCTCAGTCAAGTGTTTCCTATAGGTGCCACAATAGATGTATAAGAAGTTGGTAGTGGTGAGTTGTGGGCTGCTACATATGCTGACAGATCTTGTTCATGGCAAATGAAATATCTGGGCTAGTGAGCATAAGGTACTGTAGGGCTCCAACGAATCTTCTATACTCATTGGGATTCTCCATAGTTGGTGTCATGTAAGATATGTCCATTTTCTTATTTGGTAAGGGAGTTGAGACATTGTTGCAGCCCATCATGGCCATATCCTGAAAGATGTTGGTTAAGACATGCTTGTTGACTCAGGAAATACAGTTTGCTGTCCGATACACTTCAATGCCCAGAAATTTGTGTACCTCACCCAGTTGTTTAATCTGAAATCTGCTGGAGAGGTTGGCGGTGAGTTCCTGAATTGCAGCCAAGCTATCTCCAGTCATTAAAATGTCTCTACATATTAGAGAATGAAAATATTGTGTGCAGTTTGCTGTGAGAAGAGGAGAGAAGGATCAGCTCTACCGATGGTAAATCCCAACTGAATCAAGAATTTGGAGATGGTGGTGAACCATTGTTGAGGAGACTATCTGAGACAATAGAGAGCCTTCTTGAGTAAGCATACATGTTGAGAAATTTAGGATCTGTAAAGCCAGTCAGTTGCTGCATAGTCTCAAGAAGTGTACCATGCAAGAAGGCGTTGCTGAGATCGAATTGAAGAAATGGCCATTTCCTGTTAAACGCGACCATCAAGAGTAATCTAAGGGTTGTCATTTTTGTGACTGGACTAAATATCTCATATTGATTGATACCATATTCTTGATTATATCCATGTGCTACGAGCCTTGCTTTGTATCGTGCTACCGTTCCGTTCGAGTGGTGTTTTGTACAATATGTCAATCTACACCCATAAATTGGATGATTGGATGGGGAAGGTACAAGTGTCCACATCCCTTGGGCTTAAACGACATGAAATTCGTCACTTGGCTTTGTGCCAATGTTCTGATTTGGAAGCTAGAGTGTAAGAGGTGGGGTCAGGTGGGTTCTACATTTGATGAAGGAGGCTGAGGCACTGGATAGGCTTGAGATTTCCGATTTTAGCTCTAGTGACCATTTGATGAGTGGTAGCTGTCAGTTGGTCCATTGGTACGGTTGTATCCGACAAACAAGGAGGTTGGGGAGGATTGTTTGCTGTTGTTGGAGAGGAGTGATTTGGTTGTCTCGTGGATGGAGAAGGAATGGCTAGAGTGCTGTCCTGATTTTGTGAGGAGAGTCCTTGGACAGCAGAAGTTGGAATGAGTATGAATTTGTAGGGATTAAATATTGAGCTGTATTGGGAGGATTGATGTGGGAATGTGGGAAGGTGGTTTCATGAAACACTATATGGTAGGAGATTATGATTTGGATATTTGAGGATTATAACATTTGAATTCTTTGTGGATTGAAGAGTACCCAAGGAAGATGCATAGAGTTAATCGATGAGCTAGTTTGTGTTGAGTTGTGGGTTTCAACCATTGGTAACATAGACATCCAAAGATCATCAAGAGTGAGTACGCAGGTGGCTTATTGTATAGATTTTCATATGGAGTGGATGATGGGTATTTTTGAGAGGTAAACTATTGTTTGTAGTGCTTCAAGCCAAAATTTGAGTGGGAGGCATCATATATGAGTGTTCTAGTGGTTTCAATTAGATGACGATGTTTGCATTTTAAGATTCCATTTCGTTTAGGAGTATATGGGCATGTGAATTGTTGAAGCATACCTTGTTGGGTAAAAGCATATTTGAGGGTGGAGTTGTTATATTCGCCACCGTCATCGGATCAGAATATTCTTATTGTGGTATGAAATTGATTCTTGATCATTTGGATGAATGCAATGCATTTTTGTGGAAGTTCAGATTTATACCTCATAGGATATAGCCAACAATATTTAGAATACTCATCAACAAAAATTATATAATATCAAAAACCTTGATTGGATGGTATTGGGGATCTTTAATCTGATGACTTTTTATTATCTCTGAGCACATCAAACTCTTTGAACAAAAGATTATTTAACTTGTTTTCTTTGAGTATAAATGAATGATAAGGTCTTGACATTCAATATTTTTTTCCCGAACAAGATTTCATCAGCATTGCAACATTCTTCAATAAGTTTAAAAGATGACTAGAGTACAAATGAATCCTAATCACAACCATTGCCATTACTTACAGAACAAAGCTACAGCAAGAAAGCAACTGAGCAGATGGATGTCTACAGCTTCGGCGTTGTGCTACTGGAACTCATTACAGGAAGACCAGCAGAGCAGCCGGATTCTCGAGAATCGGTTGACGTGGTCAAGTGGGTGAGACGAAAAATTAATATGAGAAATGGACCTAACAAAGTTCTTGATCCGAAGGTATCGGATTCTTCGCACAGAGAGATGTTAGGTGCACTAGATCTTGCTCTCAATTGCACTGCAATTATGCCTGAAAAGAGACCTGGAATGGATGAGGTAGTGAGAACTCTGCAATTACTTAATGATGTTAACGAACCGCTCGTAATTTCTTCTGTCGAGTAATTAATAGCCTTGTGCTTGTAGTATTAATAGATTGCTTAGTATGTAACTTGCCTATGTCGGTGGTGTAAGAGTTAGTTCAAATGGTAATTGTTTTTTAAGAGTTTATTATTCTTAAATTTGAGAATGAGATATTGCATCACATGTTTTTATGTTTGGTGAAGTTCTAATGCAAAGCAAGATAGAGTATCAAAGGGTGCATTTTGATCTTCAGTAAGATCTCTGCAAATTATGTTTTGAGTATTATTTAAACTATGTTGAATCGAATCATGTTGTTAGTTCATTACTCAAATCTTGTTTAAACTTATTATTATTTGAATTTACTTCAAGCAAGTTTATGAACAAAATGGTCCAAATATATCATTATCATATCTTTAAACTTTGTTCTAAAATGCATCATGCAATGTTTGCCTTTTGTTTAGACATGATTTCACCGGTGTTTGAACATGGTTTGATCAATGTTCAAACATGCTCAAATGTGGTTTGATCCATGTTCAAAAGTATTTTTACTATATGCTAATGAATTAATTCCTATACATGAATCAAATATCAATATTCTTATATTATATAGATGAGAATGGAAATGATAGGTAATTTGGTTGGACATTAAAAAAAAGCATTTTCTTATGATCAATGATAGGTAAGTTGGTTGGATATTCAAAAAAAAAGAAAAAAAAAAAGAAAAAAAAAGTGCAATGGATTGATGATGCAAAGAATTTTCTTTCTTAAAGATGTTGTAGATCTTTTATATACAAAATAGTACAGCTTAATAATATCCAATTTAATTTGAGAGTGAAGATGATGCATTGATTTAGAGGAACACAGTTGATAATTTCAATTCTTCCAACTAAGCTACTTAGATGTAAGAGCTTAGTTTTTTTCTTGAAAAGGATTTTCTCTTACATTCAACATTGATCTCCTATGTGTGTTGATTGCTCCCAATAAAATTTTAACTATGATTTTTTTTTTTTTTCAAATGTGGATGAATTCATCTCAGTTAGTTTTGTGGGCTCCAAAAATTGTGATCTCTTCTCGGGACTCTCTGCAATTATTTTTATTTTTGTTGCATCGAGAGAGCTTTAAAGAGTCAAATTTTTAAAAGACAGATCGAATTATAGATAACATCTCCCAAAAGTTTTGCCTTCATTTAGTGATGGTTTTTTGATCTGAGGTTCAAAGTTTCTCATAGGTGTAAGCCACTATGGTTAATTATTCATCTTAATAACAGAAAAAACTTACAATTATGGCTAGCCATTTAGAATTGAATATTAAACATATAATAACACTGGTCTTATAATATTTTAAATTGTAAAATTTATCATTTGAAGATTAAAACTAGTAGGGGAAATGAAGAGAAAACTAGATCATGATCCCATGGTTTCATCGTCCCGGGTCGCCGTGATCCTTGATCTACTTAGTCAAAGAAGGCAGCCGGCCCAACCTAACTGAAAGATCCTGGTGAGCAACCATGAGTTTTGTCGTCCAAGGAAACCGTATAGCTTTGGGGTGGATATTTTTCTAAGGGGATAAATTTAAGGCGACTGTGGCTAACAAAAACTTGTGTTAATCAATAGTATTCCTATGATTCACAACGCAAAGGATAGAAAAAGTTTTTCTAGAGCATACGGGTTGCAGCAGTGACAGTAATATAATAGTGACATTTGACGGCAACCACCCAGTCAGAGGGTTCTGGTAGTAACCGCTATTTTGTTGTATCATTTGGCGACTGAATCACGAGGACAGAGAACTCGGGCCACATCCTTATTGACATGCGATTGCTTTAATTATGAGTATAGGGGTGCATTTGGTATGACAACCACTCTTTGTGAGCTGAAATCAATCAGAAATTAATCACCCTTGATAGATTATTGCGAAGTGTGAATAGATTTTTGTTGTAGGTCTTTAGCGATTTTAACTTAGAGGTTTTGGTTGATTATTTTGAAAATTTTGATTTAAAAGATTAACTCAGCTGGTTGAAATCTACAATAAACACGACAATCATTAAGGAGTTAAGCATGTTAAAATTTTATATTTGAAAGAGCATTTAGTTTTGCTAGTTTAGACTTTTAGGATATGAGTCATGTCGACTCATGTCCTTACAAGGAGGAGGATCAGACTAAGTGATTTTGACTTGTAAATTTTTATTTTAGAATTTGGAATTTTATTTTGAAATTACTGGACTCATCAACTCAAGTTTTTGCGAGGAGGATCAGGCTAATCAGGTGGGACTTATAACATTATTCTATAGATAAGATGGTCCGATTAGGCCGCACAACATCCTTGAACCTAATATTTGAGCATTCAATACATTGGCTGGAGCACATGTGGGTTTACAATTTCATATATTTGAATATTTGAAACAATTTTATAAGCTTTAAAGACTTGCGTAAATTTTAAGTCATGATAAACTAATCAATTACGAGACACGCAAGATTTTGAAAATATTTGTAATTTAGTAGTTTATATAAAAACCTTAAAATAAACATAGCTCAAGAGTATCTTATGTGGTACACATCTAATCCTTAAGAGTGAGCTCACATTTCAAGATATCACATTTCACTTAGAAGATAATCATAAATTTTTTTATAAATTTTGAAATCATTTGGAGTTTAAATATTTGTAAAAACATCATGATTTTAGACTTTAAAAATGGATAGTCTTCTGTTCGCTAATAGGTGTATTGCAAATTTGGTGACGGAATTTTATAGTTTCAAAAAGCCTCGTTTTTTGTCCCTTATGAGCCTAAGTTCAAAAAACTAAATCTTGAATTTATTTTTAAACCTTAGGAGTATAAGTTTGGAAAACCCGATAACAAATATTTGTCTTATGAGCTTAAATTTTAAAATCTAAATTTCAATATTTTTAAGCCATAAGAGTCTATGTTTCAAAAGCCCAAAACATGAAAATTTTTAAAACTTTAAGGGTCTAAATATTAAAAGCTAAGATGCTTAATTTTTTAAACCATGAGAGCCTAAGTTTTAAAAACCTCGGTTTTCAATTCATTTTAAAAATCAAAATGAGTCAAACTTTATTTTATTTTCTAAGTTCAAAATTTCTTTTAATTTAAATTGATTACAAGTCTAAATTATCAGAAATTTTGACAGTTTTTATATGTCAACTTCTATTTGGTGGCATGAGAGAATGTCAACCTTCCGACCTGTCTCAAAAGACTCGTTTATTAGTGTCGTGAGATACTTATCGAGGAGCAAAAAAGAACATTTAACCTGCAATCTCAAAAGACGCAACAAACCTTCAATATACTTGCAAAAAATGTTAAATAAAAAGCAGTGAGTTCTCCGAGTGGTACTTTACTTTCCTTGAATGATACTTAATTTTCACGGATGTGCATTTTAAAACCCTAATTTTAAAAAGAGTTTTCAAACCAATTTTGAAGTTTTTCCGAATGGTGCTTAATTCTCATGGTAGGTATTCATGCTCTACTCGAACGAGTATTTTTAAAAATGATTATTGCCCCAATGTGTTATACCTTTCAATCTGTAATGTCGTTGACAGTCACAATGATAATAATAAAAAAAAACACAAATATTTATTAAAAAGTTTTTTTAAGTTTTAGGAATGTTTTCTTTGAAAATGTTTTATTTCCTCGAAAATGTTTCATTAAGTTTTATTTTTGAAAAGATTTTTATTAAATTCTGAAAAGGTTTTGATTTTTCTAGTTTAAAAAAAGGTTTTTGTTACTTATTGGGAATTTCATTCTTAAGTTAAAAAGAAAATAAGTATAAAAAGATGTTATAGATTAGGGCATAAGTAAACATATATCAACTTATAAAATTATTTCCTCTTCTTGGTGCTCACTCGAATTTATGTAAAGAGAACACTTTTAGAGCACATTTAGATTTATAAATTTTTTTATTAAAAAATAGTTACTTTTTAGAGCATACTTAAATTTATATAGACTTTTATAAAAATGGTTGTCTTTCAACATATTGGCATAACATGACTATATGAACTTTGTAAATCACTTTTTAAGCGCTCGACTTATGTGAATATTTAGTCCTAAGCATATAAGTACAACCGTACAAATGTTTTTTACCTTATATATATATTTTTTCTTAGTTGTCATAAACATGCTTTCCACCTGAATCCATAAAGCCACAACTTGCAAAGTGCATGAACATAAAACCACAATTTGCTAACTTGCATGGGCCATAAAGTTGCAACTATCCAACTGACATAAAACATAAAGCCACAACTTGCCAACTTGCATAGAACTTAAAGCCATAACTTACTGACTTGCAGGAACATAAAATCACAAGCATGGATAGTTGTGTATGGAACATAAGATCATATGAGCTTGTATAATAAGTAAACCTAAGCCACAACTTGCAGGAACATAAGGTCATAGGTTTTCTACTTGAATAAACCATTAAACAATGAGTTTTCTACTTGCACACTCTATAAGCACATTCACATAAATTTTACATGAAATGTGGAACTATACATGACTTCTTTTGTTGTTTTTGTAAGAAATATACATCATGAACAAAAATTTTTGTCTTGTTTATTTATTTATTTTTTGAAACTCGGAACTAAACATGCCTTATGTTTTGTTGATTTTTGCATGAAACATAAAACTTGAACATGAATTTTGGTCTTAAGATGAAACATACACTAAGGACATGGATTTTATTTAGCATGAAATCTAGATATAACACATGAGATTTTGGCATATACAAGAGAGAACATAAATACCACATAGATTTTGCATGGAACATATAGAACTTCACATAGAGTTTGCATGGAGAACTATCACATAACACCTGAAATTTTGTCAATGAATATAAGCACATAATTAACCACATGATTTTTTGTAGCATGAAGCATAAGCACCAACCACATGATTTTCACATTGCATGGCATACACACACAACGCATTTTCTTTTCCCTTTTTGTCTGGTTTTTGGGTAAGCTGAAGAGATGGGAGAAGAGGTGGGTAGGCTAAGGGCAATGAAGATGGGTGATGGGTTTTGTTTGGTCTCGAGTAGGGTGAGAAAAGAGGGAAATTGTGAGGGCTTTGTGTGGTTTCAGGTAGGGTGAGGAGAGGAGTAGTGGTTTTATGTGTTGAGTTTCGAGTAGGGTGAGGAAAAAAAGAAGGAAGTGGTGGGCTTTGTGTGGTTTTGAGTAAGGTGATAAGAGCAGATTTATGGGTTTTATTTGTTGGATTTTTGGTAG